CGATAATACACTTTATTATTGCATCTACCACGATGAATAACAACAACCTTTTCCTCGACATTGACCAGAAATATGGGCGCACAGCCCTAAGGTTGATTCATCGACATGAGCGTTGCTCACACAAGCTCGCATGCTATACCAACCATCTCACCTTTCTCACAAGGTGTATTAAGAACCACATTGTTCCAAGAGATCTGCAAGTTTGGCCGCCAGTTCCCACCAGAGACGCACGGAGAGTCGCTGAACTAGCATCCATGAGATTCCTGAGGGAAAGAATCAGACTGACGNTGTGATCAAGATCCTTCGCCAGAAAATATGAACATGTTTGAGGTTTTGAAGACAGAGTTTGAGCTCCAGAATGATTACATCACCCAAGGGGCAATAATATGAACCCGAGCCACCTGGTATGAGCAAGGAGAAAAAAGCAACAGATATTTTTTAAATTTAGAAAATTCCAGAGATAAGAAAAGTTCAATTCAGAAGATATTTAAGGAAGATGAATCCTCAACATCAAATCCTCAAGTAATTATGAAAGAACTTCATTCCTTCTATTCTGACCTTTATAAAAAAAAGTATAAATGAGAGTAGTGAAACTTTGACAGATTTATTTATAAGGGATTTACATATTCCAAAATTGACCTCGAACCAAAAAGAAAGATGCGATGAAAAATTAACGGTAGGAGAATGTTTTAACACTTTAAAGACATTCCAAAAGAACAAAACTCCTGGGAATGACGGGCTCACGGTAGAATTTTATTTAGTGTTTTGGCCAATAGTAGGCAAGCATTTGATTGATTGCTTTAATTATGCGCATGATCATGGTGAGCTTTCCAATTCTCACGATATAGTCACTTGAGATGTAGATCACGACGTTTCGCCTGCTTACTGCTAGTCTTCTTCAGGTGATAAGGTCAACTGATTGCATGGCAAAAAACACAACAGCAGGAGAACGGTACAACAGTGGACCACTGAGGGAACAGCTACTTGCGGAACAATGGAGGCATAGGAGGATCGAAATGCACCAATCACAGCTGACCGCTGCAGTAGGAACCATGATCCCTTGAGCTGCAAATACAAGAACGAAGTGTGTTGCAAATGTCAAAAGAAAGGCCACATGGCTAAAGTATGTCGAGGAAAGAAGAAACTTCAAAAGCAAGACAAACATGGACACCGGCCAGATGGTAAACAAAAAACGCATTTTGTTGAGGAAAGCGCCAATCAAGACAATGTCTATGCCATGTATCATCTGTCCAGCGATCGAAAGAAATCGTTCAAAGTGGATCTGGAACTTTGCGGATGGAAAACCACGATGGAAATCAACACAGGTGCCTCAAAGACGATATTAAATGAAGCAACGTATGTAAGATTGCATGACGCATTAGGTCCACTCCAGCCGACAAAAGCGGTTCTAAGCACGTACACAGGAGAAAAGATTCCAGTACTAGGAGCAGTTACGGTTCCAGTAAAATATGAAAGCCAGCAGAAGAAATGAAACGCTCTCATTCTCAAAGGTGGCGCACCGAACCTACTTGGTCGAGATTGGCTTGAAGAAATTTGCTTGGATTGGGAAACATCTTTCAGATAGCCAGTGATAACCCCCAATTGGCACTTCAAGACGTGCTTTCAAAGTACCAAGATGTATTTGCTGGAGGATTGGGCACACTAAAAGGCGTAAAGGCGAAGATCTATGTGGATGAAGACGCAGAACCAAAATACATCAAAGCCAGAGCAGTACCTTACGCATTGAGAAGCAATGTCAAACTTGAACTCGAAAGACTGGAGCGTGAAGGAATTATATCTGCAGTGGAACTCTCAGAATGGGCAGCACCCACTGTACCTGTGGCAAAACCCAATGGGACTGTGAGGATCTGTGGAGACTATAAACTAACAGTAAATCAAGTGTCCAAATTGGACAATTATCCAATACCAAAAACAGAAGATCTTTTGGCTATCCTGGGAGGTGGTGAGAAATTTACCAAGCTGGACATGTCGCAAGCATATCAGCAGATGACTCTAGATGAGGAGTTTCGGAAGTTTGCCACCATAAACAGCCATAAAGGCCTATTTCAGTACAATAGACTGCCTTTTGGAGTGTCCTCTGCACCTGGTATTTTTTTAGAGGACGATGGAAAACCTCTTGCAAGGCATTCCTCAGGTCATTGTGCGAGTGGACGACATTCTCATCAGCGGGAAGGACGACAATAATCACATTGCCAGTTTAGAAGCAGTACTCAAGAAGCTGTCAGAAGCTGGACTGCAGCTGCGAAAAGAAAAGTGTTTCTTCATGGTGTCGGACAATACCTATTGTGGTTATGAGATCAGTGGTCATGGTATTAAGCCAGTAGAATCTAAGGTGGAAGCCATACAGAATTCCCCAGTGCCCGAGAATGTTACACAGCTGCGTGCATTTCTGGGAATGCTAAATTATTATCATGGTTTCCTACCAGACATCGCTACAGTACTAAGACCACTCCACAAGCTTCTTAGACATGGTACAAAGTGGTGTTGGAAGACCAAGCAGCAGGTGGTTTTTGACAAATCCAAGAAACTACTTCAGTCTGCAAACCTCCTGGTACATTTCCAGCCAGATCTGGAACTAATCTTGGCGAGTGATGCCTCAGATTATGGAGCAGGGGCGGTACTCTGCCACCAGCTGGCAGATGGAACAGAGCGCCCAATTGGTTACGTCTCAAGATCACTGAACACAGCTGAGCATGATTATTCCACTATTGAAAAAGAGGCTTTGGTCATCATCTTCGGAGTGAAGAAGTTTAGTCAGTTCTTGTACGGTCACAAGTTCACCATACAGACTGATCACAAGCCGCTGGAAGGGCTCTTTAACGAGAAGAAAGGAGTACCCCAACAAGCCTCTCTAAGAGTTCAGCGGTGGGCCCTGACCTTGCCAGCATATGAGTACAAGATTGCCTATAAAACAGGGACCACAAATGCCAATGCGGATGCATTAAGTCGACTCTCCTTGTCCAAGATGCCAGATTCTGTTTCTGTACCTGGAGAGACAGTTTTTCTCTTAGAACATCTGGACCATACCCCAATCAACTCACGTCTTATCCAAGAATGGACAAGGTGCGATCCTGTTCTCTCAAAAGTGCACCAGCTTACACTTAATGGATGGCCACACCACTGCCAGGATGTGCAGTTACACCCATATTTTAGCCGGAAAGCAGAATTAACCATAGAAAGTGGATGCGTTCTAAGGGGAAACAGGGTGATAGTACCACCTCAAGGATGAGCGCAAGTCACAACCAAGCTTTACAAAGCCCATCCAGGCATATCAAGGATGAAAGCCCTTGCACATGGTCATGTGTGGTGGTCAAACATGGATCGTGAGTAAGAAGATGCAGTTAAAAAGTGTCAGCAATGCCAACTGCACCAGAAGGCCCCAGCAGAAGCACCTCTCCACCCATGGGAGTGGCCCAGTCAACCCCGGTCATGGGTGCACGTTGATTATGCAGGGCCCTATAAGGGTCACGTATTCAATGATGATCAATGCACATTCCAAATGGATGGGTGTCCACATAATGCAAAGTACAGCATCAGCCACCACCATAGTGAAGTTGAGAGAAATCTTCGCAACCCATGGTCTCCCGGAAACCATTGTCAGCGACAATGGTCCCAATTTCACAAGTGCAGAATTAGAGAATTTCCTCTCAAAAAATGGCATCAAACACACCAAAGTATCACCATACCATCCAGCTTCGAATGGACAGGTGGAGCAAGCAGTCAGAGTCTTCAAAGAAGGGATAAAGAAGATGGAAGAGGGAACCATGCAAGACAAGTTGTCACGTTTTCTGCTCAAGTACAGAACAACACCACACACAACAACAGGGGTTACACCAACGGAACTGCTGATGAAGAGAAAGCTGAGAACTAAGCTTGACCTCATAGTGCCCAACACTGCAAGTCTGGTGAGACAGAAGCAAGAACATCAAAAACAGACCCACGACCACCATGCCAAACACAGGGACTTTGAAGCCAGTGAGCCTGTGTTCATAAAGGACTTCAGTTCCCCCAAGTCCTGGCAAAAAGGAACTGTGGTGCAGATGACGGGCCCAGTCTCAGCCCTAGTCAAATTACCGGATGGTCGAGTTGTTCAACGACATCAGGACCGTATGCGGAAGAGCCACAGCCAAGACCCAACAAAGTCAAATCCTGAGATTTTGGTACCAGGAGTGGTGCTGGAGGCAGATTGCACAACAGACACAACCCAACCGAGTAGCCCAACCAAGCCAGTCGTGAGTTTGTCTGATGCACAAAAGGCTAAACCATCACACCCAGTCCGCGACCGACGTTTACCCGAATGTTTCAAAGACTATGAACTTTAAAACTTATGACACTGCTTTTGAACATTGATTAGCGATTGGCAAGAATCGTTGCGTGACAGACATTGTGTGAAAAACATCACTGATTGATTTTATTACGCTTTTGCTCAGTGTTTCTTTTTTTGTTTGGAATAGCAAAAGTGTTAAGGGGTAGGAATGTTATAATCTAGTCACGTGCCGAGTCATGTTATCGGTAATCGGATATCCATGTTGTGTCATGTAGGATTTCAATTCATTCTTCTTCGTCATTATTAAAGCATGTGGATCTATAATTCACTTCACCCTGATTTATTACACCGGGTACCTCAAGGTTCTTGTTTAGGACCTCCACTATTTATAATTTCATTTACTCATCTCAGCTGTTCAATGTCATAGAAAAACACCTGCATGTACCACATGTGCAATGCTTTATTAACAACACTCGGCTTCACTTTAAGCTTTAAGCCAGTTGGCCAAGTCAGTCAAGATGTTGGAGTGAGGGCTTTGGAATGGTGTATTGGAGATATTTAAAGCTGGATGATTGATTATAGACTCTTACTTAATGATGACAAAACTGAAGTGTTATTAATAAACATTTATTGGAACATGGTATCAGCTAAATAAGTTAAATTGCAACATTTGTTTACACCTTGGTGATAATGATATTACTCTGGCAACTGTGATTGATATTTAGGAGTCTAGTTTGGTGAAAAAATATCCAAGTCTGCACGTATCACCAAGGCATGCAGGAGTGTATTCTTTCATTTACATAATATTATAAAAATTAAGAAATATTTACCGTATCTGAAGATAGTCTGTGTACAATTTTCCATGCCTTTACTACTTCTCAACTCAGCTACTGTAGCTTAATGTATGGACTTACCAATGTGCAAATTTCCAAGCTACAGCATGTCCAAAATGCAGCTGTTATCTACTTAACATGAACATACCCAAGTACTTGCACATAATGCTAGCTCTGTAGGAACTTCACTGGCTACCCATTGCTTATCAAATTATTATTTAGATTGATTCTTAAACTTACCTTAAAATCAATTTATGGACTAGCATCATCTTATCTTAGTGACTTCAGGAAAGTTAAGCAACAGAGCTCATACTCATTACACTGTAATAATAGCCTACTATTAGAGGTTTCTTAGGAGACAATGTACCCAACACCTGGCGGTAAGTCTTTTACTTTTGCTGTACTGGCTTTATGGAACAGCCTCCTGGTTGACCTGTGTGTTGTCACACCACTTAAAGTCTTTTTAAAAGCAAACTTAAGATATTTTTGTTTAGGTCAGCATTTTAAATGTATTTTCAATGTATTTCTTTTTTTATTTCCCCTTTATTAATAACTTTACCAGTATATATTTGTCTTATTTAGTCTTTGATGAATTTATTATAAAGCAGTCTTGAACAGTGTATGTAAATAGTGCTATAAAAATTATTAAATTAGTGTTATTATTTAACAGCATAATAGCCACTTAACTATATTTCACCAAGAACATCATAGTTTAGATTTTTGGATACCCTCATAGTTTGTAGCTCTTAAACAACCTATTGCCCTCGACAGAAACTTTGGGGAGACTGAGTGCCAGCTTTTTGTACCAGCATTACTGGGATGGTGGGAAGCGCAGTGGCTTCATGGTTAGTGTGCTTGTCTCTGTATTGAGCTTGTCTCTGGTTCGACCCCTGACATTGTGTTGTATTCTTGAGAGATACACTTTATTCTCACGGTGCCTCCGTCCACCCAGGTGTATAAATTGTCATTGGTGAACTTAATGCTGGGGGTAACCCTGTAATGGACTAACGTCTCATCCAGTGGGAAGTAGAAATACTCCTAGTTGCTTCATGCTGCAGAAACTGGTATAAGCTCTGGCCTGATAAGTCCCTTGGCTCATATGCAGACCTTTACCATTACTGGGATGGTTCAGATACAAAATGTGAGCTATGATCGATCAATGGTTTCCAAAGGCAACCATTGACCAATCATAGCTCACATTGTTTACCCAATCCATTTCAAAGCTGCCAAAGACTGACCTTCATTTTGCCAAACTTTCTGTCAACAGCAATTAGTTCTGAAATAATTTGTGAGGTTTTGGTGTTCATGGGAATGGATCAACAATGCATGATCCCAGATAATGTCTATTTCCCCCACAGACGAGGGTGTCTGATTTCCCATCCCAATGATCATGAGGAATATGGACATTTTCCCAAGAGTAATGATATCTATTTGAAGTTAATTCCTGCTGTTTCAAACGGGTTCAACCGTACCAACATTTCATAACCAAACGGCACAGTGCACATTAGTCATTACATGAATGAGCTGGCTCTAAGAGCCCTTTGATTTTTCTTACACTTGTTTGCACCTTTAATTTTGACTCACATTTTTTTGGCGCTAGTTACAACATAGTGTTCAATATATCTAAGACTACCTGAATGTTTGTTAGTAATCCGTAGGTCACACAAGCATAGTATGTGACTTTTGATTCAATAGACAAACGCATTAAAGACTTTGTATGGGAAATTTCCTTTAGTCAGCCTAAGTATGTCAAGTAAAGTTTTTAATGTAGAAATGATCAGAGAAAACTTAACCTGTAAAGTAATGTCACACATGACATGATATTATTAAAAAGTTTTTCGGCCTAAAATTACAACATGATTTGCCGCAACGAGTTGATGTGATGGTATATTTATCTGCTTTTATGGCTATGGTGTTTTTATGGCAAGGTACTCAAGATGCACAATTATACAATAATTTGTGTAATATACAAGGGGTGCATTCCTAATTGGGGTGATCTGGATCGGGATCAGTGATATAAGATCATGGCACATCCAAGGAACCAATGAATCCACTCTGGTCACAGATTGATCAGTTCCTTTGATGCACTATGATCCGAGTGATCTTGGATCCAGATCATCCAGAAGATACTCACTCTTACACAAGGGACACGTCACATAACTCTCAATCAAATATACTTTTTTTTTCATTGTTCATGCTCGTATCTAATCACCTAACAATCATGTGTAACTGTAACATAACATAACATAATTTCTACATTAATGGCTTTATTTAGCATAGTAAGTTTCCCATACATAGTCTTCTCTGCATCTGTCTATTGAATCAAAAGTCGCATACTGCGCTTGTGCGGCCTGTGGATAAATGACAAACTTTCAGATATATAGAACACAATTTTGTAACTAGAGCCCAAAAAATCTGAGTCAAAATTAAAGGAGCAAACAAGTGTGTGCAGTCTGGACGGTCTGCAGTGTTTTGGCGTGACTGATTTGTGGTATTCAAAAGTGACAGTAAGAAATACTGAGTGAACAAAGTCAATGCAAACAAATAAAATCAAGCACTTTTTAAAGGTAATGGAACTTGACTCTAGCTTCTAACTGTTCATGAAGACAGCCAATTTCACTTACCTTTTTGGGGATTGTTTATATTGGGGTTGCCTATGGAAACTGTCAGTGGAGTTCAATTGGTTTTACGACAAACATGCAGTTGGCATGTGCATGAAATTTATAGCAGCAGGCAGATCACAGAACATTAAACATTTCTTCTTTTAGAGGTTTCCAAAGGTTAATCCAAAAAGACGACTCTTCTATAAATATAAATATTCAGGTAGGTATCAGGTAACATTCTTCAAGTTTACGTATTTCACTGGAATTCAATAACGGTCATTGACCTCAATTCTCAGCAAAACAAAGTTATTCTGTGAAAATGTGCCCTTTAGCTCCTTCTTTGACCCTGTAAGATTTCATATTTGGAAATAATTTCTGGCAATAATGGTTTCGGAGAGATATCACTAGAAAATGTTTCAAAATAACGAAGCATTTGCTTTTCTTGCAGTAATCGGTTTTTTTACGCTAGGGTCAAAGGTCATGTTTTCAGGAAGAGAAGTGCTGCATTTAGTTGGCTATCTCAGTGCTCGCAATTTTATTTACCCCAAAAATTTTATTTCACTAATTTGAAGAAGAACCAATGCTCTTTCAGACCAAACTAGTTGTTTCGGGAAAAGCCGTGTAGACTGTACCAGAATGCCTTTTTAGCATTGGAAAATGGGGTAAATGTAGACCCCTAATGTTCAGCTGTCTTGGGTCATTAATTTAGAAAATTTGTCAAATATTTTAGTTCTAATCAAATCACTATCTATTTAGCTCTAAATATACAAGAAAGTACAAATACGATGTGCAATCAGTTTGTAATGAAGATTGCCGCTTGTGTGCAGAAGGGTGTTTTAAATAAACATGCAAAAGCTGCGGAATCCAAACTTCTTCAATACAGTCTGTATTTCAAGCCCATCCTTAGTTATTTGGATGGGCCACCATTAGGTTCCTAAACATACTTACGATTCTTTTTGGGGTCACTTTGGAAAAACGGGGCATTGTTTGGGAGTCAGGATTAGTTCAGGTCTATTTGGCATCATTCTGGGACCTGCACACAAGCACTTGACCATGACTTTGAACCAGTTTCAGAATAATTAAATTCAGGATTCTATCGCTCACCTTTAAGGCTCTACACCAACAGTCCTCTACTTACATTCAAGATTTAATTGCATGCTACTCACTTCTAGAACTCTCTGGTCTTCTTCTACATTTCATCTGAATCCTGTCAACTTTAATCTGAAGTTCCATGGGTCTCTTGCCTTGGCTGTTTCCACTCGAAAGCTCTGGAAGAGTCTGCCTGATTGCACTTCAAACTTATCTTTTTAAAAAAACCTATTCCTAGCGATATTATATTTTTCTAATATTACTTTTAGTCCAAATTTAAAATATTGTGAAGCACCTAGAGCAAGACTGGATGGGCACTATACAAATGTTAATATTATTGCATTTGAGAGAATGCAATTCTAATTGGGTAATGCATAAAAATTCAAGTTTTTGTGTATGTATCTTTCTATGGACACCAATTTGCCCCTCCAAAAAATTATTTAGGGGTGAATAACATCATATCCATGTTCGCCCACTTTATTTCGAGTGTTGTACAATATTGACTCTCAAGTGTCAAGATAGACTGCGAG